TTACCCCCTCCCCCCTCAATGGATTTCTTACTCTCTCCTCCTGCCACTCTGTCTCTTACTTACCTCCTCCCTCCTCAATCTTTTTCTTACCCTCCTTCCCTCTGTTCCTCCCCCATTCTCTTTTTTGCTATCCAATCTCTCCCTCTTAGTTTCTTGCCCTTCTTTCCCGTAGTTTTCATGCCTTCCCTTTCCTCCCCCTCCCTCCCTTACTTGCTTGTTTTTCTTCACCTGGGCATCAAAAGGGGTAACCCCCTCCCCCCAAAAAAGGCCACAATTTACTTGGGTCAGAGTATAGCTGAAAAATGCAACAAAAAATAAGTTTTTTTTTTTTTTTTTCTAAATGTTTTTGCTGTGCTTGCTTACCCAACCGAGACGCCCCCCCCCCCCCTCAAGAAATAACAAAGGTTGGCCATTTCTTCTCTTCCTCTTTCTTGTCCCCCCCCCCCCTCTCTCTATCACCTTCCTCTCCCTTCTTTTCCTCCTCTTTATCTCCCTCCCTCTTTCTGAATGACAACCACATCTTGATTCCTCGGAGCAAGAGATATACAGATAGAAACATATAAATATATATATAATAATATTATATAATATAAATATAAATATAAATATATAATATAAATATAAACGTTATATGAAAGATATAAACTGATGAGTCCCTTTAGGGTATTTGTTCCGATTATGACAATACCAATACCGATGGTATCATATCAAGCCCTATTACTCCTACATGTAGGAACTTTACCGTGGACCTTACCCATACCCAACAAACTTGGGCCCCATTTGTAGGGGAGGATATGAAGGATATCAGGGAAATTGTGGGATGAAGGGCAATTAGATCACAGCTATTATAAATAAGTCTTAAAAGTAGGAGGGAAAGAACACACGGAGTGAGACTAGAGATTAGGAAGGGGAGGATCCAACAAAGGAAGCTGTGACAAAAGGGAGTCATATCTATCCATGAGGGAGCAGAAGGGATAAAGGAGAAGGAATGGGTAAGGATGCAGATGGAGCATGGGGGAGGGGGTGTAAGGTGCATAGGTAATGGGAGGAAAGAAATTGGAGGGTGGATAGGGGTCATTAGAAAGTTGACTGTCCAAGTTTCTGAGAGTTGGTTGGGGAGATCTGAGAAACAAAGGTCTTGTGTAGGGGAGACAAGGAGACAGACATATAAGGTGCAAATGAAGTAGGTGGAGGGAAGGAATTGAATTATATTGAATGGAACATTTAGTTCGTCTGATGTGATGAGTAGTGACAAGGAGGGTGGTTAGGCATTGGGGAAGTAATAGAGATTGGAGTGTCTGGATTTATGCAAAAGAATTTGTCTAGGAGAGGGAAGGGGTAGCAGTGGGAACGTGAGGAGTGGGAGGAAGAGATACTGGGGAAGAGTACAAGTTTGAGTCTGAAAACCCACCACCTCCCTCAAACTTGTAGATAGGGTACCCCTCCATAAAATACATAATGGGAGTCACCACCACAATTAGCACAGATGTATGATTGCTCGGAGTAGTTTGAACGACCAGGCAGTATCTTGTGGAGCGACAGTGTTTGGCACCAGGATAAGACACCAAAATTTCAGACATTGACAGGGGAGGGATTAATATTAATATTATTAGGGGAAAGGGCAGAAATATCCTCCACTCTAAACATTATAGTGGATGTTGTGTTTACGGAAAGTAATTTTGGCAACAATAACCTGTAGGGGCAATAGCGTAGCATTGTGCTGATACTGCATCATAGTCAATAAGGCAGGCGAGCACAGTAACCAATCCATGTACACGGCAATTTATTGGGAAACAGGCTTGTCAGTGAAGTCATTCAGGGTAGATTTGCTTGAGCTTGGGACACAGTTGTAAATGTGACAGAGTGAAAACGATTGCAATGGCTGTGGAAGGTAACTTTGTTTACTTATTTTTGGAGACATTGTTAAAAGAGGAGGGTGTTGTCAATAGAAAGGGCTGTAGGGGGGCAACGGGGATCACAAAAAATTGCCCCAACTTAGCTGGGCTAAAAAGTACTAAAAAGCTTTGTAGATATAGAAGCCGTAGAAGGATGAGAACAGGAGGAAGAAGCGCTGAAATGTAGTACTGTGATGATGAGTAATTTATTTATTCTTTTATTTAGTTATATTCCATTTGTTACCATAACTATTCTTGGTGCAACAGGCTGTCCGTTTCATTTTCCTTCTAAGATAGCCCCTGTGTGCAAGGAATGGCCAGGGTTTCCATCCACTGACAATGTGTGGGCATTGAATGCAGGTCAACAAAATTGTTAGATGAGGCCACTACCACTGCACCACACAGCACATAATAAAGGAGGAGGGGATAGAATATAAAGAAGACTATGAGGGATGAGGAGGAATGGAAGATGGGAAAGAGGAATATTTTCTGAAGGTTGAGTAATACTTGGAATGGACAGCAATCAACAGGTATTGAGGTAGTAATAGTTGTAGATGTACTAAGAGTTGTGATCAAAGGAAAGCAAGGGCTCAGGTGACTGGAAA